CCCCCCCCGCCTCAAGCCAATGCCAGTGCTGGCTTCCCCTCCTCACCTCTTCCCTGGCCACTCATCCACTAATGTCACTTCCACCCAGGGCCTAGAGGAGGGAGACCCTCCTCATCTGTGCCTCCGAACTCCTTAGCCCTAAGCCCTACCTCCCCTTTCTGGCTCCTTTACTCAGAGAGCCTTTCGTTTCCTAGCTTGTTTAAGGCTTGTTAAGAGCCAAGGCTTAATTCCTACGTATTGAGGTAACTTGGGCCCAAGAATATCCTGGGGAAAAATATTTTTATTTTTTACTTTTAAAAAATTTTTATTTTTTTAAATATTTATTTGCTTTTGAAGGGGGGAGGGGCAGAGAGAGGGAGACAGAGGGTCTGAAGCGGACTCTGCGCTGACAGCAGAGAACACGATGTGGGGGCTCGAACTCAGAACTGTGAGATCATGACCTGAGCTGAAGTCGGACGCTTAACTGATAGAGCCACCCAGGCGCCCCAGGGAAAAACATTTTTAAAACCCAGACATGCTCAGCCATCGCCCAGCAGAACCATGATACCCGCACTGGGGTGCTCTGGCTGAGATGGAATGCCAATGCTGTGCTGACCCTCTCGAGAGCAGTACCAACCTAACTCCAGGGCTCTGCCAGCTTCCACTTGCCCTCATCACAGCCCTGGCTCACCGCACGCTCACTGTGTGCACGGCCATGCATGTGACCTTCTTGTCCTCTAGGACACAGACACTATTTTATCCCAATTTACAGATATGGGAACTGAGGCCCTTGCCCACTCAGTGGCACAGCCAGGGCTGGAGCCCGGGGCCCTCACCGATGCCCCAGCCGCCTCCGGATGGAGGGCTGTCTGCACTTACCGCGGGCTTCCGTCCTTCCTTGAGCAGAGTTTTCCTCCTCAGAGGACCCTCCATGGTGGGCACGGCGGCTGAGCTCCCCAGCGTACAGATGCACGGGCCCGTGGGGCTGAGGGGAGACCACCAGTCAGATGCCGCCCTGCAGGAGCTGGGGTCAGGCACCCTCTCCCTCCCACGTCCCCACTGCAGAGTCCCTGATCCTGTGCCAGGCCAGAAACAACGCTGTCGAGAAAAGGCCAGGGAGGGGCCCCTGAGGCCGAGGGCAGCTTGAAGGAAGAGGGGCCAGGGCGGCCACAGCCGCAAACTTTCACCTCCCTCGTCTTTCTGAGCCTGCAAGGCCCGAGGCTTGGTGACCGAGCTCCCTATAACCCAGGCCCCAGCAGCACCCGCCACCCTGTCCTGAGCTCTGCGGTGGCTTCCTCCTGCCTTGCCCCTGTGCTCCCACCTTTCTCTGGGGCCTATGCAGCCCCTCCTTGTGTGGGCAGGAGCCTGGAGGAGCAGTGGGGGAGGTGGGGGTGGAGTGAGGAGAGGGGAGGAGGACAGCTGACCAGCCCTGCACCTTTGCCTCAGGGCTCCCTTCTCCCCCAGGGCCGCAGGGTTTCAGGCGCCACCTACAGGTGAAGGCCGCCAAGTGCAGCTCTGGCCGGGACCTGTCCCCTGGGCTTCACACTCTGGCTTCACTCACTGGGCAGGCGCCTCCCATGGGCATCTCCCTCAACTTGGCGCCTTTCCTCAAGCTGCTTTTTCTCCACGTGCGTGTGAATGGCACCGCCGTCCACCTGGCGGCTTGAACCAGGGACCTGGGGTGTTTCTCCACTTTCCCCTCCACCGCTGCAACCTACTGAATCCCAAGGATGCCCTGATCCCAAGTCCTACATATGCCTGACTACCCGTCTCAGTCACCCTGCCCGCCCCCCCACCTTAGGCCAACTTGGCTCTTCCTTTGGACAACTGCCCGATGCTCTGCCCCGGCCTCCCTGCAGCCCCTCCTGCCTTCCTCCTGCACCCTCTCCAGCTCTCCATGCCTCTGGCCAGGATGACCTGGTCATGCCACAGTCTGTCACCTCCCCCCAACCCTGCTCGGTCCCACCTCTCCAACCTCATCTCCACCCCTCCCCCTCTCATTTCTGACAACACTGACTCTCCTTCATTTGCTTCGGCTTGGGGCACTCTTATTATCGCTACACCTACCCTCCCTGTATTTGCTTAATTCCTATCACTCTTCCAGTCGTTTCTCCAGAGAGCCCTTCCTTGCTCCATCCCACCTCCACTCTGGGACCATCAGTCATCCGGGATTATCCGTTAGGCCTGTTTCTCCTGTGGCAGCGGCCTCCTGGGCCAAGGCAGAGGCCACGTCTGTCCCATGAGCAACCTCTAGCACAGTGTGTGGCCTCCAACAAGCAGCCTAGAGCTGTTCGTCAAATAACTAAACACACCAATCAATGAATACCTGTAGACGCAGCTCCGGGTCCGGGGAGAATTCCGAACTGGAACGCGCCAGTTGGGCCCCAGGGTGGCATAGAGACGTCCCCTGCTTCAGAGGAAAAGGGTGGACTTTTAGCAACAGCCCGGAACAACCAGATACTCTGAGGAAGCGAGGGTATCTCGGACCCTGCGGTCATTAGCTCGGGAAGCTTCAACCTCAACTCTTCCCACACCTCCTCCGTCATGCTACAGGCACATCTGGGGCACATTCAGGGCCAGTTCCCAAGGCTCCAGGTGATTCTTTCCTTAACTTTCTAATTAAATGTTTACCCCTCTTCCAGTGGCAGGGGGTGACTAAAATCAGGGCACGCCCACTTACCCAATGTGAAGCTGACATATTTAACAGAAAAAAGCAGGAAAGCCCAAATGTTCCATGGCTAATCCAGCGAAAAGGGCGCACACAGCGACAGAATTGTGGGCAGTCTTGCACGTTGGGCCTGGGGGGGGGGGGGCCCTGGAATCTCTCTGTGGGCTACCCCTCGGGCTTCTCAGCTCCTCTCCCTCCTGGAGTCCCCAGCAGGGAGCCTTTGCAGAGGAAGGTGCAGTTTCCAGAGTAAGCAGAGAGCTTAACCTATTTGGGGGGAGGCTTCCATTTTTCTTCTCTTCGTCTTTTCCTCTTTCAGCAGAATGACTTCTTGTATCCACTTGGTCCTCAACCTTCTCACCCCTGCAGCATGGTCTCTCCCTGGGCTGTAGCATTCCTTGCCCATTGGCTAAACAATGATGTAACCCAATTTATAGTCAGACGGGGTGAAGACTTCCTTTTCAAATATTCTCTCTATTCTCTACTGCCCGTCCTCGGTTGCCGCGTGCTGCCCCACAGCTCTGGACACCTGGGGGTGGCGTGGGACATCGTCATTCATTCCAGCAGGTGCATCATACCGTAAGTAAGCTCCGGTTCCTCCAAGAGAGGGTGTCGTTGTTCGCTGCCCCTCCATCCTCCGCTTGAGAAGGACCGGTTCTTGAGGAGCATCTTGAGTCTGCTGTGCAGAGGCCCAAGTTCAGGGCTCGTGGGAGTCTGAGGCCTTCTAGGCCAACTGCTCTGGGACCCTGCTCCTTCTGCCCAACAGCTACTCCTCTTCAGGAGGTAAAGAGCCACAGCATGTGCTTGGCCCCTCAAGTCCTCAAATGCAATGGATCTCAGCCTTTCCCCACCACTCCTTGGTGACAGATGATGGTCAGAGGCTGACCCCACTCCTGCCCCCACCATGAACTGTGGCACAGAGGCGGCCCTGGCATGCCCAACTCCCAGCCCACAGACCGACGGTTTCCTCCCTCTCTTCCATTCAGAAAGAGGCTTGCAATGCAGTGAGTGAGCGACATTACAGGTCATGATGAATCTGCTCTCACTTATGAAAAGCTTCAGTACTTTCACCGTTATTGGGAACACTACTGCGTACCTCACAGCTGGGTGTGGCACCGTGACATGTTACCACCCCGTGCTTAAGCGGGCTGCTGGGGGGGCTCGCTACGGGCTGCCTCCAGGGTTGCTTTCCTCCACAGCCACCACCAGAGATTTCTTATGAATCGGGGCAGAGTGTGACAGTGAACCTTTCTGCGATGACATTCCTTGTGCCAGGAAGACGTCTCCTTGCTTGATCTGGAACCCTGCTCTGAACCACCACCTGTCTGGAGTTGGAGATGGAGCCTCCCTTTCCAGAGCTGGGTCCTCTGGCCTCTTCTTCTCCACCTTTCATCTTGTGGGTCTTTTTGCCCTGGTACCCGAAGAAAATGTGTGATGACAGCAGGCTGTCCCCAGTGACTGGCAGTTCCACCAACAGGGGGGTGTGGCTGCCACTGCTACCTTCCCTCTGTCGTGCTCTCCTTTCTGAGACTGTCCATGGCTGCACACTCAATAGATGTCTGCAGGACTGACACTTGTTGACGGAGACCCTTAAACCAACATCTTCCAACCAGCCTAGCCTTGTAAGCAACCTTTCTTCACATTCTTTCTAAGGGCGCGGGGTGCCCCCTGGTGCACTGGACTGGTGGGGGAGTGTGGGGGCACGGAGATCACTAGTGAGTGGGGGCTCATATGTGCAAGGCTGTTACACTCACCATCTCACTGGAGCTTTATTTAAGTTAAGCACATTATCTTCCCCAGAATAGGGAAACTGAGGCTCAATGATGTGAAGACACTTGACTGAGGCCTGAGCCTAATAAACCAGGACTGGACCCTGTTCTGTCTGGTTGTATAGCTGAAGCTCTTCCCACACCTTTCAGGGTCACAGGGAGGCCCAGATGTCACGTGTCGGGGCTCTGCCACAGGCACTGGCTCTGCGTGTGGAACTGGCACCATGTGGCTTCTGGGTGCTCTCCCAGAGGTACCCCTCCGTGTAGGTCTCTGCCACAGCTCACACTGATCGGGCTTTGTCAGTGTCCATGAGACTGGACGGCCACAACAGTCTTAGGCCCTAGATCTCCTTGGGTAAGACCCTTCCCAGGCCCCTCATCCCTTGGTCTCCGCGCTGGAGTAACCTTCTGGTGGTTTTGGCTGATGGGCACGGAAGGGCAATTGCTTACCACGAGACACGCCGCTCTTCCCAACTCTGTGAAGGGTGCTATTCCCACCGTGACTCAAGTGAGGAACCTGAGGCTCAAGGAAGTGAAGCCACTCATCCCACCCCACTGGCCTGTCATTAGGGATTTAGGGATGGAGATGCAAATATTAACAAAGGGAGTCTGGCTTTCTGGTATGAGTAGACAGCTTATGTCAGCCTAGCTCCTCCAAGTGGGGGAAGTCAGAGTCTGCTTCCCTGGAGCCTGGGGGAGTGACCCTGGCCTTGAAGGGCAGTGTAATGGTGAATTTTCTTCAAGGCCAGCTTTTAGAATAGTTAGGGTTGTGGTGGCCACCCTTCCTCCCAAGATGAGCCCTGTACGCTGGAGTGGGGGTTGTGATAGTTGGGTGATTCTGGTCAGGCCCAGGCAGGCTAAAATCAGCACAGAGGAGCTAGGCTCTTCAGCCATTGGAACCAATCTGATCACTGCCCTGCTTTGAGAAGATTTGTTATTTTGAATGTTCAGGGCAGAAATGCAGAATGAATGAGCATTGTATCTGGTGAACTCAGAAATCAGGGAGTTTCTTGGACTGACATGGCTCCCACTCCAGAACCACAGACAACTTTCCTGGCATGATGCTGGAGCAGAATGTGGCTAAATGGAATGTATTCCAGGAAAGCCATTTTACAGTCTCCTCTGAGGGGTGGATCTTGGGTAGTGGTGGGGAGGAGGGATGCAGGAAGCAACCCTACTCACGGGAAGTCTGGTCTGGGGAAGATGTAGGATGACAACCAAATAAAACACTTCAGTCCCAAGTGGTGTGCAAGATGATGATGATGATGATGATGATGATGATGATGAGCATAGTGATAAGGATGATGGTGATAGTAAGGATGGGCTGATGATGATGGGGATGATGGGGATGATGGAATGATGGGATGATAGGGGTGATGGGGATGG